TTCCACTTTAGCCCGCATATCAACTGCTTCACGAGCCTAAAATAAAAGCAAAAAAAGAAAAAGGAAATTTTTTTTTTTGATTCATAAGATAAATCTCACCTTCAAATCAACTGTGTATAAAGATTCAGCAAGTTTAGCGAAGTTTTCATTGATATGTGTACTTTGAAGACCATGACCATCGACTGCTAAACGTTTATCAAGTGGAATTGTATAACCCTAAAAGAATTTATTCATTGTCAAATAAAGTAACTAAGATAAACAATTCATACTTTAGCATTTTTCCAGTTTGAAATACATGATGGAATCTTCCAATTTTGTTGTTCTTTTATAGTAACTTTTTGTGTTGGTGAATGAAGAATTGGAACTGGAGGACTTGGAGGTCCACGAGGAATTTTCTTATTAATTCTATGAAATTAAATAGAAATCAATAAAGACGATGTATATAATTTTCTTTGCTCACTTAAATCGAGGTGGTTCCATAGGATCTTTTTGAACTTCAACCATTTGAATAATACGTTGTTTAGCACCAGAATTAAAAGCAGGTCCTTGTTGTGATGGTGTATAACGAATGTATTGAACAGGTGCTTGCTTTTCGGCATGTTGAACTGGCATGGCAGCTGATATTTTAGATGATACAAGAGCTTCGAGAATTTCACGGGTTTTTTTTTTGTTTTCTAAATAAAAGAAAGTAGTGTAAATTAATAATCATTATATGATTTACCTCTTTTAATTCGTCTTCAGATGGTTTTTGTAAACTTGGATCGTCTTCACGAAGTTTTTTGAGTAGTAAATCGACAAAATTTGAGTAGACAATCTAATAAAGAAGATGGAAATAAAAAGAAGCAAACAAAAAGAGATTAGCTTACTTTGTTGCCCTTAATATTGTGCTTAAGAATAGTATCAAATTTTATTTTGCCTTCAGTATCAACTTTAAGTGGAATTGCATTTGATGGTTCGTGCATGGTTAGACAGATATTTGTACAACTGTAGAATAACAATATCCCCGTTGTTTACTCTATATAGAAGAGGAAAAAAATTTTATTCGCGCATCACATAACCATATATTTAGGGCTACAGCTACAATGCGGACACTTTTTTAAACCAATTAAGGTAAAATGTCCGCAAAGCAGAATCAGGGGGTATAGACAAAAATGACCGCATTTTGAAAATTGTCCGCAAAGCAGAATCGAGGCAGAGAATGAAAATGTCCGCATTATAGAATCAAGAAAAAATTTATTATGTGAAGAAAGAGAAAGATACAAGTAGTACGAGATGATTCAACATTCAACTATGCTTTGGTTCATAATCTTCGTCATCTTTGTCAGATGTATCCAATATGTGAACGTATCGGTAACAAAGAGAAAGTAGTCTTTTTTGATAACCATCTAAATCTAGTAGACCATTTAAATAATCTTCTTTTGCTTGTACTAAAATATTTTCATTATTAACTGAAGTTAACCTTTTTGGACCAGTTGTTCGTTGTTGTGCGTGTTCCTGTTCTAATCGAATCATTACTGATTATCGTCGATAGAATCGATTTGTCTGTACTAATTTTCTTATTATTTCTACTTTTT